CCGCAGTGGGTTTTTAGGATCACGGGCCCTAGCTTAGACGGGCATTTGGCTAACTTCTTTGTAGCCCCCCGGTCTAGTCGCCTGACCATTTGTCAGTCGCAATCTCTGGCTCATAGGAGACAAAACAGAACAAACGGACACCGGACATGGCCCAAGGACATCGCAGCTGTTGCCACCATCCAAACTAAACAGAATTGACAATGGTCCGCGTGTAGTGAATCTTGTACAGACCATTTCAACAGAGATCCCAAGAAACTTGACCCAAACCTGGGGTAAGCCCAAACAAGCTATGTTCCGAGGGTCCATATTTCACGCACCCCCAACAATGGTGAACATATAACATATGGGTGTGTCCAAAATGGCCGGTTTCCTTCTGGTTTCCCTTTAAAACCCACCCAAAACGGGGGGTGATCCTCACAAGAAGACGAGCCACGCGTGAGGACAGCCTGCGGCCTCGGCTCTCCTTGGCTCCTCGCCTTGGCGGCGGAGCACTCCGCGGTGAGCTCCTGGCGCACGCTCTGCAGCGCCGCCTCAGCGGGGGCAGTTGGTTCCCGGCGAGGCGGCGGAGCTCGGGGGTGGCGGGGGGTTGGGGGGGGTTGGTGGGGTCGTTGGTGGGGTGGTGGATGGGGTGGTTGGTGGGGTGGTTGGTGGGGTGGTGGATGGGGTGGTTGGTGCGGCGGTGGATGGTGTTTTGGGTGGGCGGAGGGGTGGGGCCCTGGTAGACCGAGGGTAGCCCAGAAGTTTGTGTTTTGGATTGGTGCTTTGGATTTTGTTGGACCAGAGGGTAACCCGGCATTTTGCTTTTCTGGGCTAGTGCTTTGGATTCCGATTTGAAGCCTGGGTAAGTCTCAGCTTCCCAATCAGTGGCTTCGATGGGTGTGGCGTTTGAGTGGGCTTAGGGTTCAAATCCCCAAGCCAAGAATCCAACACTACCCTCCCGCGCTTCTGACAGGAAATGGTTTAAAGAGGTCACACGCAAACAGCTGAGCACCCCAGTGAGCAGCCAGCAGCTAACCCTCCACGCAACCTGCCCTTCACGTTTGGCGTGATCGCTTACCCCACTCAAGCGGTGTTTCATCACTACCAGGATCCCGAAGGATTGGACACTACACCAATAGCAACGTCCCATTTGGACGCAATCCCAAGCAAACCACCTCCCCTTCTATGTTCAGCCCACGGAACATTTCACCATGTTTTGTGGGACACGAAATCCATGTCTTAGGGTAAACACAGTACACCAAAGCACACCGCGAAATCCCCTGCAAAGTGGTTGTTTGGTCTTAAGGCTTTCATGGGGATTGCCTATTTCCCTGGCTTTAAGCTTGAATACTACCGACCGGTTCCTCTTCTAACTCTGGAAACTCCAAGCACCGCAACCGGCCGCACCCAGGTTTTGGTGCTGCTTGCTGTTTGCATGTTGGAAGAGGGTTAAAGGTCAGTCCGTGACAAACCTGGGAACATCTTTCGGGCAGGACAGCCTTGAATAAACCCCTCTGGCGAGCTTTTCAATTTTCATATAGCTCAAGCCAAAGCCTTCCAAATCCGCCCCTCTCTACCTTGGTCAATGTTCCTTCCTTCTGCCTTGGTCAACATTTTTTACTAGTGTAAACTAGCACCCCTCCCCCCAAATCCCCCCCCCCCCAACCCCTCACCCACCCAACTCGCCCCCCAGTCCCCCCCCAAGCGCACCTTGGCCTTGTCAGCAAGCTGCTGTGCCGCCTCCAGCTCGCCCTGGCCTGACATTCGGAGCTGACAGTAGGGATGTGGGATGTTTGGGGATGTGTTGGGATGTTTTTTTGGATGTTTTGGGAATGGTTTCGAGATGTTTTGGGATGTTTGGGGAATGAAGCGGAAGGCGATCTCAGTATCACCCGACTTAAGCACTTTTGCACTAGGGCGACAAAGGACAAGCTCAGATCGTCTAGTCATCCACTTGGAGAAAGTGGGCCATCTACTTTCATCCTGGTGGCTTGCCCTGCTGCTTCGCAGTATGGAATCCGCGCTTGGGTGTTGGGAACGAACCCGGAAGGGAATCTGCCAGGAACCCGCCAGTTGGATGGTTCATTTTGGGGTCACTCCCTCAGAGGCCCTGAGACTCAGCTTGGAGCTTGGAAAAGGGGGGTCCATCCAAAGGCAAACCGGCCAGATCCAGCCCAAAGGTTGCTCCCATTTGACCCTGGCGATGGGGGCCGGGAGCCCCAGCTTGCGGTTCCCAGTTGGAACCATCCGGAAATAAGGCCTAAGGTCTCCTTTTGAGAAGAGGTATCCCCTTTGCCCCTTGAAACCAGGCTGAAACGCATATGCCCAGCCGGTCGACGGGATTTCAGACTTTCAGAGGTCTCCTGACCTCAAATATGAGAAGTGGTTGAGGTTTCAAAACCTGAGCATGAGTCATACATTAAATAACAGGTTGTCCCAGGTCGATGATAGGATTTTTCTTCTGAACCAAAAATAAACCGCCCCCGAAAAAATGAGACGCCAGCTTTGGGCTCCCTTCGAAACCACCTCACCTGAATGAACAAAGGTGAAGCCTGTGGGAGCCTTGACTGAAAATGCACAGCATGGCAACATCAAATCGTCGCTGTATTTTGGGCCAGTGAGCCACAATGAGCCAAATCAACAAGGCATGAGGCAACTGGGAAAGTGGGGGTTAGGCTACACGTGTCTCGTCCCGCGGAAATAAACGAAAGCATAAAACAGCATAAATGGATTTGTCCCCCAACTTCAGTTTTGTAGGAGCATGGTTGTCGATGTAACAAAGCAAATCCAATGTTCAACGCATCGATGCATGCCTTCTTGCAGTCACCTGAAACGGACCGGCTTGAACGACTGAGACCTTAACTCGCTAGGCTTAGACTTCAAACTTCAAGCCTTCAAACTTGAAACCCGTTTGACATCTGGTACATCTCCTTGGAACACGAGGGGGTCGATGCGGTCAGGAGCAGGCCGGGTTCCGAAAGGTTTCGGAGCTGCGCGAGATCGACCCTCCGAGTGCCCTGGGTCCCGCACGTGACTTGGCAATGGATTCCGCCAGGTCGGCGCGGGATTTCTCGGTCTCCATCTGCGAGCACAATTTTTTGAGCAGGCAAGATTGGCCGTGTATTTTTCTTGGGACTCCTTTAGCAGGGCGCATGACATTTTCCCTTAAACCATCACACCAGTGCACACCCGCCAAAAAATGTTGCACATGCGATGCTTACTGTTCCCTTAAGAGGAACCCTGTCCCCTGTTTCAGATGCTCTGAATTCCTCTGCCGGAAGCAAGCAAGCTGTTATGGCCCATTGAGGGCAGCAAATTGGCCACCCACTGTGGGCCACGTTGGCAAGTTCTAAAGAAAAATTGGAACAAGGGGATTTCCAAAATGTGAGAGCCTTCATCAAATTGGGCTAGTTTTTTCCTTTCATCCCTGTGGCTGCCTCACTGCAAGCAAAGCACTGTTGCAGGGATTTAAGTCATCTGGACAAATAACTCAAAGTAGTTCCATGGAAATTGGGGAATCCCGAAAGTAAGCTCATTCAGCTGGTTTTATCACCCCTCACTGCGCGAACCGTTGAAAAACAAATCATGATTGATATGAGGCCTCAAAACCGGTTGAGGGTCCAAAGGCGAGGTTCTTCCCTCAAATTCGCGACCCGTCCAAGCCTCCATCTTCTTGGTAGACACGGCCGATGAATGCCTGCTGAGGGCATTTCTCTTTCAGCGCCGGTCCCCAAAAATCAAGAAACCAGGGGCGGGGGAAGGGGAGAAGAATACCTTTCCCGCGTTTTGGTGATGACTGTTTTGTTCATGTTGTGGGATGAATGGCTTTGCTTTATTGATGGCTCGTTCTCCGGTGTTCATGTTTTGGAATTATTCGGTGCAGCATCTGGGAAACATGCGCCGGCCTCGGATGCAGCTTATGAGTGGGGCTTTCCTTCAGCATAAACACTTGCATAGTCTCTCTCGATGTTCTCGCTTTTGCAGGGGAATCATATGACAGAATCAAATACATAGATACAATGAGCGATGCCAACGTGCAAGACTATCTAGCATGCTCAAGAAATACTCAAAGCGTCTAAAGAAGCGTCTCAAGTGGCTGCCTCTTCATTTCCGGCCTCTTCTTTTCAGCAACAGGCTGCTAAAGTCTCTTGGGCATTTGCTTCGGCATATGCTTGGGTGCTGGTGTCCACTTCGGCTCACTCATGGTCATGGTGAGTCATGAAAGCTTGAGATTGGTGTCAGACCTGACTGACTTTTGGGCTTTTGTCCTCTTCCCGCCGCCGCTGCTGAATGTGGAGGACCGGATCAGTTGGGGTCAGCAGCAACCAGCAACCGCCCTTCTCTAATGCATCGTAGCTGCAAAGCCCCCCCCCCCCCGGAAACCCTTCCAGGCCCTGATTTAGTCTCACCATGCCTTACCAGAAAGTTGGCAGGTTGGTTTTTGGTGCCAGAAAAGAGCAACCAAGATGAATCGCCATTCTAAGCGCCTCAGCTCCCCCGTGTCGCTTTCGGGACCGCGGGCTGTGCGCCTCTTCAGCTCTGCCTGCAAATCCTCGATGGCCTCGCACGCTGCGGCGGACAAGTACTTGTTTGAGGCTCAGGGAACCCGAAAGGAAAGCCACCATTTCCAGAGTCCCCCATTGGCTGTGGGTCAAAAATAGGTACCCAAAATGGAACCCTGGTAAGTGGCAACATGGACCAAAACCTGTGGTGCCCTGGTAGTTGTAATTTTGACCCACACCCATTTGGAGATGGACAATTCCTGTGTGAAGACCAGACAAGAAGGAGACGGCGCCTTTCCGCAAAGAGTTGAACACGAGATGTTGGCACTTCAAGGTACAAAGAGAAGACCCCCAATTTCAAATGTGCCTTTGCAATCTCTCCCCTTCGTGTTTTCCTTCCACCATCCACACATTTGGTCACCAACTTCAGGACACCTTCCCAGTTGTGTCAAGCGTGTCCAGAAGGCCCCCTGAAGTCTCCTTGGGTTTGCCCGGAATCCATCCCGACGTGACTCACCAATCGAGCACATGACTTGCTCATCCTCCCAAGCGGAATCGAGTGCTGAACAACTGTGTCAGCCATTTTGACCGCGATGGCCCTCGCTACGAAAAAAAACTCCACCAAAAAGTGAACTTGTTGCTTGAAACAGCAAATGAAAGAAAACCACAAACCACAAAGGCACCAAGTTGAGCGAGCTTTTTTGCCTAGCAAGAATTTGGGGTATGTGTTTGGGAAGGAAACCCTATCTTTGCCAAGGCAAGTCTGGCGAACGCGCGGCCTCTATTTGGACCGCGCCTTCTTGCTTGCTGCGATCTCCACACCAGCTTGCTGACGGACCTCAGCATCCGGCGCAGGTCGCAGGCACCCTTTGGGTTTTGGGGGTCAAGGAAAACTGAGGAAAACCAGACATTTTGGAGACCAACCAAACCCTTCTTCCTCAGTTTTCCTTTTGGAGACCTAAAATAGCCTAAAATCCATTTTCAGTGGTTCCTTGTTTTGGAGACCAAACCTGTCTGACAACTGCACCGCTGCCGGCAGTACGTTGGGCACGGCTTAAAGTGTTGGTGCAATGTGACCAACGTGTAGAGCTTGGGGCGGTGCGGCTCCTTCATGACATCTTGGGATATGATGGATGTGAAGACCCTGCCTAGAAACTGGATCATGGCTAAGAATCTTCGACCAACTGGTTGCTCTACCTCAGCTTTTGACCTACCCAAAATACGATGCTTGACTCTGCACATTCGTGAACTTGAAGCTTGACAAACAGCTCCTAAGTAGATACCGGGTTGTGTCATGTTGATTTGTTGGCCAAAGGAGCAGGTACTACCTGTTTCACCGAGTTCTTCTTTGCAGGATGTAGTTGGTTCGCAAAGGGCCACGACCGATTCCTCTGAGAGGAGGGCAGCTTCCAGCGCTTGGGAGGCATCTAATGCCGCCTCCTTCGCCTGCGACTTCTCCACTTGGCTTGGCTTTTCTCCAGCTGGACAAGAAAAGCAAAAGGGGTGCGCGAAGAAAGCACACACGCCGAAATCAAGCAAGATGGTCTCCCCTCCAAGCAAACTTCATCTGCTAAAACCCTCCTACCATGGAACATATCCCCCGCAAAACACCAGGGGCGGATAAAGAAAACGCCACCCCCCAGCTTTGAGTTGGGAACATCCCCAAGCCGGTGCCACGGGCCCGAAGAACCAAAGCTGACATAGGGACCTGCACGCCAGCTTGTGGGATACCTCGACTTGCTTTGTTCTCCCGCGTGGCCTGGCCCATTTCCTTGAATCCTTGTTGGCGCGGAAGGTTGGATTTAAGGAAAACCCTCAGGAACCAAACCAAATGGACCCCCCCCCTCCCGCAGGGGTCTGACATTTTGAGTTGCTTGGAAGAATATCCTGTAGAGCTAACACCAGTCGGGGCACAGGTCGCCGCTGCTTGGCAAATCTTTGCCCACCATGTGATCAACACTGAACCGGTCTTGTTCAAATCTATGCTATGCAACAAATTCTTACTCCTAGGTATGCGGCTTCAGCGAGCTAGCTTACACATTCCCTTGACGTTCAATAGGCAAAGTCTTGAACCCTCTTTTGGGAACAAACTCGCAATCTGTGACGTCGTAACTCATGACGACTATGATCAGATGCTCACCGCCTGCAAGTGTCGAGAGTTTCCGGTTGCAAACAGGCGCCACTACGAATACAAACCAGCATCATTTCAGAATGTCACATTGCCATTGGTTGGTTCATGCCGGTAACCGCTTCAAATGCATCTGCGGAGGATCCAACTCGCTTTCACTCTGGCAGCAAGAAACTCCCAATCCGTCCGCGCCTGCTTCAGTTGTTCCCGATGCTGCGAAACAGCGCCTAGGCACTGAAGAGCCCACCTACCCCCCACCTAACAAGGGAAAATGGTCTGACCCGCTGAGTTTGCTGGCCAGTAAAGTTCAATTTTTTTGGGCCTTGCCCAAAATGATGAAGACATCTGGCAGCATATAGCCGAAGGTTCCAGCTCAACAGCAAAGTGATATATCACCATCAACAACCATTGGATTTGATTTCATGCTGGGGAAACTCGCTGCACTCGCCATGGCATTGGATCATGACAATTCTGTGTAATATATATGCTTCGTCTTCTTTCCGCTCTTTCAGCGCGTCATTAAGCAAGGACACCCTGTCAACTGAGTCTAGCTAATTAGCCGGGGTGTGCTCCAAAATGAAATCTTGCTTATTCCGGTTCTACCACGAATCGCATTGCGGGAACATGTCACACCATCACTGTTCTGCTACCCAGCGCGACCGTCGTTCCAACTCGTGTCGGTGTCTGGTTGAATCGAAGCAATTCTACCCAGCGCATCCATCAACCTCACATGTTCGGCAAGCAGGCCATTGGTTTGTGCATCGGTATACATCTCTTGGGGTGCAGGACAACCAAAGGGATACCACCTGGAGAGTTTCCCAATACATGTCAGATCTGAATAACGTGAGAGTGAGCAAGATATAGTTGATCTCAACCCAAAGAAACGGCCGGCTTGAGGGGCCGGCTTTCCGCGTCCTGCGCCAAGTTGCTTGCGACTGTGGAAGAGGGAGGAGCAACCGCAGGAAAGGGTCTTGCAGCTGGCAAGAATCTGAGATTTGGTTGAAGTTCTGTAGAGTGCCCGTGTCCTGCAAAACTCCAAACAAGATCCGCCTTTTGCGAGAAGCAAACATCGACAGTGACCTCGGGTAAATTTAGTGCACTTAGGGTTGGTGGGTGTAAAATGGGAAATGGTGAAAATTGTGTATGGCTTAGGCTTCGTTCACGGCGGGTTTCCGATGAGTTTGGCTCAACAGCAAAAAAGCACGGCGTTGACATGCGATGGGGCAAAACGACTAAGTACAACGCCACACAAAAGCGAACAAAGCCGACAAAAAAGCCAACAAGGCCGCAAACCCGCAAAAGCCGCGACAAACAATCGATTTCCGGATCTGGAAAGTTTTGCCGCTGAGAAATGGCCGCGTCAAATGAATTGCCCCTTTCCCTATGATTTTGGGATACCGGCGCAGCATCCTATGCTTGTCAAAACACATGTTGGAGAAGTATCCTTTTCCGCCAGCAAGAGTAGGAAGAGCAAGCTGGCACTTCCAACTCCTCTGGCCGTTCAAGCCCCATCGTGGAGGTAGGGATTTTGCCTTTTGAACTGGCCAATAACATCAAGCTTAACAGCTTCAGCTTGCAGAAAATCTTCAGTTCTGGGATGTGTCTGGAATGCTTGCATGCAGCTTTCAGTTGCTATAAGCTTCAAAGCAAATCCACTGGGCAAGTGTTGCCATTGAAGGTGCCGAACCAACTTGTTTTGTACACACTGCCAGAGATCCAGGGGTTTCGATTCAACGCGACAAACCTGACTCGCGACCAAATCGTCAGGCCTCCGCTCGCTTGCCGTGAGCCTGCGGGGGAAACCGCTCCATGTGGGAGGTATAGTGAAGGTTGTTAAGGCTTTTCTTGCAGGAGTTGCTGCGGTTTTTGTCGTCGCTGCTGCTGCTGCTGCTGCTGCTGCTGCTGCTGCTGCTGCTGCTGATGACTTTCATGATGGGGAGAATCGGTCGCAGATCAAATCCTTTTGTGATGTTGAACTACATTGCCCCTTGAAATACATTGCCTCGCTATACGTTCCCTTCAAACGAAAACCAAAGCAAATCCACCGGTTGTTGGGGTTGCCTGAAAGAAGAACACTCCCCTGTCAACATTGAACCCCAAGGGTCTCCCAAAGGCGATTCGGCTGCGCTAAATACTGCAAGGGAACCAGGAAACCCCGGTTCAAATTCCCATGACTCATGGTTGGTTCAGTTGCAATATGGCCATGGGTCAAACCCAAATCGTACCCCCAGTGAACATCCCAATCCAACCACTAAAATAGGAAACCTAAAATCGGTGGTGAATTCACCGAAAACCCCAAAATGGGATCCCATTGTCTTGACCCACAGCAAGATGCCAGGGGCATCCATCGTTCCTCAACGTTGCGGGAGGGGCCCCTGCCTCCGCTTGCTCCTTATGGGTTCCCAGCTCCGCCTGCAGGCGCTGCAACTCCTAGCGATTTCGACCGCCGCGAACAACCCGGGGTGGAAGGGTCGAGTGGATTTCTTTCCAAGTGGCAAGGGTTCCAAGGGGCTGTCCTTTCTCAGATCTGCTAAAAGTGGTTATTTTTTTTGGTGGGTGAAATACGGACCACCCACGCTAAACCAACGAAAAAGCTAAAAAGTTGAGGAACCGGAGGGCTAGGAGCCATCAATCTTCTTGGGAAAAGGGTGGATGGGTCAAGTGGTCTTCGACTCATTGATCCACTTCCAAGTGACCTGTATCACAGAGAGGAGCCAGCCACCCGATAAGTTCGGCATAATCAATGGACATCGTTCCACCAAAATTCATGAGTGTCAGCTTTTCTGTTGTTGCCTGGCCTTGATTCAACCATGGTCTGCTATGTGGCATGTTGCCGAAGGGCCATGGATTGCACCCTTCCGGCGAATAATGGCCTGACAATCAAGGTTCTCAAACTATCTGATAATTTAGGAGCTTACCTCCGCCTTTACGACATCTCCGAGTTCTCAAACCCTTCGGGCCTCTCATTCTGGCCTGGGGGCTTCAAATTTTGATGAGGGCTGCCAATTCCACTTTTGCCCACCATAGAAAATACCCAGAAAGGGTGGTCAAAGCCGCCAAACACGCTTGAAGTGTATGTGGTTGGGACTGGCCCAACAGATGCTGCCGCTGGGAGTGTTCCAACAAACCACACGTGTGCAAAAGCATTCCCATGTTTCCAGTCAAGACTTCCAACTTTGGAGATCCAAAATTTCCAGGGATTTGTCCCATGGAGCTCCCAAAAACGGAGACTCAGATGCCCAGTGGCAAAAAGGAAAAAAAGCTGGCATCCTTCTTTGGCTGGCAAAGACTTTAAAGGGACACCTTTTTTTCCCAAAGAAGTTGAAAAAAGGTGGGCGAATTCCACCGGGCAACAGAAATGAGAAGGAGCCACACTCACCACAGCCTGGACGCACATGCCCAATTTTGGAGATCCCAAACCCACCAGGGGGTTGTCCCGTACAGCTCCCAAAAACGGAGGAGCCACACTCAGGCAGCCAGAGGCTCCTGTTCCTTCTCCTGGGCCTGTGCCTGAGCCGCGCTTAGGCGCTCGCTGGTCTGCTCCAGCTCCTGCTTCAAAGCCTCCGGGACCCAGGCCGAAGCCCCTGGTTGATAGGTCGACAGGGGTGGCACTTGTCCAAGTATGATGTGGGTCCAAACATATCTAATTGGCCCTTTTCTTTTGGTGCTAGCACCATCTGGGGCCGGAGTCCCATCATAATGAAGAATCCCCATTCGATAGGGAATCGGATCATTTTTGGGGGAACACCCCTCTTATTCATCCACCAGGTTAATTCATCTGGGGTGGACGTTAGAGCTTTTCCAACCACTTGGGGGCTTGGGGGTCCTTGTATTTTGCCAAGGGGTCTAAAGGCAAACCCCGCCTGCAGCGACACGGGGAAATGCCTCCCATCCTTCTGGTGGGTTCCATGTTAGTGGTCAGTGTCACAACAAGAGGTCACATTTGCCAGTCATTGCGGTTCCCTGGAAAACATGTACATAACAAGACAACAACACCCTCGGTTGCCTGCACTTGCTGCTCCGCTTCCTTCTTGGCAGCATCCAGTTCCTGGCAAGGCGGCACCCCCAACCCCACAGACAACCATAACACGGGGACCAAATTTTCGGACTATGGACTCGCGGGTGTCTCTTCTTGGCGCGAGCCCCTTTTTGAAGGAAACCGAGCTTTCATCTTGAAACAACGCCGTGTAGACAGCCACCTAAATGAGGATGTCTCAAACATTTACCCGCCCGTCCAGCAAGATAGAGCGATAGAGCCTTCTGGCGGCTAGAAACCTGCCAAGACTGCAGCATGTCTAGTAGGCTTGATTGACCCTTGGGCATGTCTAAAGCCAGAGGAACCCATTGAACATGCAGTTTACAAGAAATCAAGAGAACACCAACCAGAGAAACCCTAGTAACTCTATCCATACCGTTGTGTCTGTGTTCATTCTCCCTTTTGAACATGAAGTTGCAAGTTGCGCTCGTTCCAAGAGATCCAAGGCTATGTCCCGCCTTAGCCGCTCCTCGCCATGTTCATTGAAACTCGCCCTCGAAAAGCCCATTGATTTCTGTTGTTGGCAGTTGGACTTTTTGGGCGTTTAAAGAGAAGCCAAGCGGAGACCGTCGCCATTTGCGAGTGTCCTGGAGATGGTGCTTGGTTGGCAAGGATAGCTTGCTGCGTCGTCACTCCTGGTGCTTGTGCTTCTGCTTCTTTGCCACTGAATTCTCATTCGCGAGGAATCCACTTAAGTGCCTTTCCTTGGCTAAAACGGCCGAACGTTCAATCACTGAAGCTGCGCCGTGGGCCCTCGGTGTCCCAGGATGCCCTCGGTCTCTTCCTCCCTCGATCCCAAAACCACGCAGGCCTGCGTCAGTGTGGTCTCCTTCTTCTTGGCAGCCTAGCAGCTTGATCCCTTTCGTTTTTTCTCCTTGACCCTTTGGTAATGTAAGCTAGGGGAGAAAAGCCCTCAGAGGCTGCTACATTGGCAATTGGAGTCATTGGGTAGAAGCCAGCATGGTAAGCAACCCTAGAAGCAACAGACCCAGCTTCCTGAACGTAACTGAAGCCTCGAGATTCACATTCATGGCCTGGGTAAAGCGAGGCAATCACGGCTCCAGAGCGGAGACACAAGAAAACGGCACTTGCATACCCTGTCGAAACGCTCCAAGGTCTTTGCACGTGTTCTGAGACTGATATTTCTGACATTTCATGCCACAACAACAGCTACTCTACGTTGCCTCACCAAAGAATCAGAGCGAAATTCATGGCGTTGGTATTGGTAGTGCACCACGACCTTCGGCTGTCCAGGGGCAACTCGGGGTTCCTTGGTCTGCGAATCGCTTCTAAGCCTCACCGGGCTTCGGATTTTGAATCCATGTTTTGGCTTGCGGCTCCAAACAAGCTCAGACCACATTCAAGCTGATGTGACCTTCGCCCTCTTAACACTTGCATCCATCGACTCAATCTGTTCTTGTCTGAACCATTGCCAAAACAGCCTTAGCAAGTCTTGTTAACGGTGTTGCCGGCACTAGTGGTTTAATTTTGACAACCACACCCACATGAGTTTTCATCCTCCGCGTCGTCAAGCGTCAAAGGCCGTCGTCAAATCGGCGCCTCGCTGGTGGACTTCACGACCTCCAGCTCCTTACCAGAGCTGTCCACCTGCGTCTCCAGCTCCAAGACCTGCCGCACTTCGCGCGGGTCAAGCACCGGGGCTGGTGGAGGGAGCTGGCCTCACTCCTCAGGTCCCAAGGAGGGGATTGAAATTAACCCAAAAATGAACCGGAACTTTTTGTAGCTACGAAAGTGACGAAGTTCCATGAACTCAGGGAGTGAGGAGCAGCCATGTTTGACCATTGCATCTTTTGTTTTGCCACCGTCCTGGCGCGTTGCCTTGGGGCTTTTGAAGGCTCGGAATCCCAAGTCGGTTCCGTGACTCTGGGCGAACATCCGAGGTACTGCAACCATCCAAACCTGAGGTTTCTTCTGGGCATCCCCAAAGGATCCCAATCCGGAAGGTGAGCGTGCCGGAAAGGACAAGCACACCGCGACATGGTCTCAGGCTCCTGATGTGGGCAACGCAAATTGAGCAGTGTTTTTTTTGGTGGTTCGGGGCCTATACACTACTTGCACGCCTACGCGAAGGCCTACGCAAGCCTACGCGGCCTGCAAGGGGTGCCTACGCGAGCACAAGTCAGCTTCCAGGTGCCTACGCGGATGCCTACGCGGGCAAATGTTGAGCTCAAGTGTCGAAGTGCACCGTGGCAGCTCCAGCTGGAAAATCAGAAATGCAGTACAAGTGAGAATCCCACATCTGTCCAAGGATCTGGCTGCTAGAAAAGGTCTACGTACCCAAATGCCTTGAAAGCCTACGCGAATGCCTACTCGAGGCCTACGCGGAGCCTACGCAAAGACTGCAGAACAAACAGAAGGAAGGCAAAAGAAGCAAATACTTTTATACGTGGCAAACAGCACTGAGTCATGCTTTGTTCAGCAAACCCCTACGCGAAAAGCCTACGCGAGGGGTGACATAACAGCCTACGCGCTGAAGCCTACGCCCCCAACCAGGATTGCCTCCGCAAAGTACATGCAGTTCCCTTTTTGTATAAACCTTTTCATTTGATTAAAAAACGCTGCTCCATTCACAGTCACGTTGGACGTACAGAAGCTAGCATGGAAGGAAACTGAAACTGACAGTAATGAGTAATCGGTCCAGAGTACATACTTGCTGTGATCGTACCTGGGCTTGCCGTTTCTCTTTGAAACCATCCATCTAACCGACACATGGCAATTGAAAACTAGAAACCTTTGCGCTTGCAAACTAGCCGGCTGTTGCCAAGACAACTGTGTGTGGATATGGACGAAATCCGTTTCTCACTAGCTAGGTGGTTTATCCCAGTATTCATAGGGGTTCATCCGTCCCAGCTTCCGCAGGACTTCGTCCATCCACTGTAGGAATCCCTTCCATGGAAAACTGCCGTCACAAGGCACCGATTCAGCCGCGATGCTGAGTCAATGGTCTAAACTCGCAGCGGGTCGATGATCCTTAATCCCAAATAGCTCAGGCTACAGTGCTGCGAAACCATGTTCGAATCCGAAACATCACTGCCCATAAATGACTCCCTGACTCCACTAATCTTTGCTTGGGATGCTACACAAAATAAAATAAGTCCACCGACATTGCGGAGGCGTGTCGGATACTTAAGAGAGAACAGAGGATAACCCCCCCCCAAGGAAGGTGGGGGGGGAGGTTGCCCCACATATCGCGCGGTAATTTGATGACGTTCCACTAAGTCACTAAACGTAGTCTTCGGGGAGCCGGTGTCGCAAAACAGGGGTCCCAGGCTCGAATCCCCCTGCCGGCTCTTTGCTGGTTTAAAATCTGGAACAACTTTGTTTTTGTTGACATCCGTTTTACGAAAACGCTGGAAAAAACCGTGTTTTTGTGCCGGAAAATACTGGGGAGCAGAGGGGGCATGCAAGGAAGTGCAATAAAATGAGGGGAGGAAATAGGAAGCCGACATGACAGGAAAGCAAGGGGGAAATGAAAGGGAAACGAGAGGGAACTGAAAGGGACATGAAAGGGGCAGAAATGAAAACAAGGGGAGTGCAGGGGGAATGAAAGGGAGACAAAGGACAAGCAAACCAAAGGACACGAAGGGAGATGCAGGGAAATGACTGGCAACGAAAGAACGGGACATACATGGAAAATGAAGCGGACATACCGAGGGAGATGAAGGGGGAGTTGAAAGGAATGGAAGGGACATGACCAGGACATCATGGGAAGGGGGAATCAAGGGAAAAGCCAGTAGTAAGCAGACAGTTCAGGGTCATGAAGGGGCAGTGCCCGGACATCCAGGCAAGACGTGACACTGCAATGCAGAGAGAGAGAGAGAGAAAGACAGAGAGAGAGAGAGAGAGAGAGAGAGAGAGAGAGTGCGGGAGAGAGAGAGAGAGTGCGGGAGAGAGAGAGAGAGAGATACAGAGAGCGAGAAAGAGCGAGAGAGAGAGAGAGAGACAGAGACAGAGCCAGAGTCAGAGAAAGAGACAGAGAAAGACAGAGAGAGCGAGAGAGAGAGAGAGAGAGAGACAGAGAGAGAGAGAGAGAGAGACAGAGAGAGAGAGAGAGAGAGACAGAAGAATAGACTAGGTCCTTCAGTATAGAGGTTGGAATAAGGGTGCCCTTTTTTTTCTGTAGAGAGGCGTGGACAGGAAGAAGACAGGGAGACAGCAAGAGAAAGAAAAAGAGAAAGAAAAAGAGAAACAGAGAGAGAGAGAGAGAGACAGAGAGACAGAGAGAGAGAGACAGAGAGAGAGAGAGAGAGAGAGAGACAGAGAGACAGAGAGACAGAGAGAGGGAGATTGTGGAGAGATTGAGGAGACAGAGGCTTGGGGGGATGGGGAGGATGGGGAGGATGGGGAGCAGAGGGAGGGAGAGAGGAGGGGGGAGGAGACAAGAGAGAGAGGAACAAGGAGAAAAGGGAGAGGACAGTCCGGACAATGTCGGGGGACTGAGCCTCCTCCGGCTCTAAAGTATATAGGGCTGGCAACTAAACCACCCCAAAGGATAAAAACCTTAGTAGCAACGGTACTCAAATTGCAATCACAGCTCTTTGGCCCAGTGTCGCCTCGGCTTTGGCTTCCTCCAACTCCTGAATCACAGCCCGAACCGGGTCTGCGTTTCATGTTGGCCGGTATTACTGAGATCAACGCGTGAGGAACGAGGAACTAAGGGCCAGGGAACGGACTTTACCTGCAATTGCGACAGGCTATGAGTTATTATCAAATAAGTTTCTATGATTTTCTATGGCAACGCGTTGTTCTGAGTCAGGGTCATCGCTAAATTTGGGAACATTGGAAGCCCTGAAGAAACACTTCCATTCATGCATGCGAGTAGATAAGCGTCAGTCTTGTGATTGCAATTCCTCACAAGCTCCTTGTTTTGCATTTGAATTGCCCTGACGTACGACGAACACAGAATCTTCGCCACCAATACTTACTCAATGCAAGCAATCCCAACGATCTGAGACCTTGCCCAATTTTGGCAATCATGACCATCCTGTGTTGCCGCTTGCAGGCCTTTCGGCCACATCTGTGAAGGGCCGGATCGAACCTTTTGACCATAAAAAGGCCCCTAAGCTTTCCGACGCTGGGATGTTGAAAATGAAGTCGGCCAGTCCAAATTCATTGCCAACGAGACCTCCTTCCCCAGGAAAGGGAAGGATTGCCGTACAGCCTAGCGAGTCTGGCAAGAGCCCTCGGCCCCAGTAGTGGGAACCATAGCAAAAAGATGCTATAGCTCCAAGCAACACTTTACCTCGGACAGAAGCTCGGGACCATGGTACATGTGTACGGACAAAATCCTGCACAGATGTTCCTAACACCATGCAGACTGTGATACAACACGAAGTGCATCTCTGGATTTCGTCCATCCACCCTAGCATCAAGACCTCAAATATGAGGTCCTATGGCCTTTGACCCCAAAAAGGCCTCATACCGTTTTTTTTTTTGACATTTTAAGGAGGCTACCTCATACCTTTGGCCAACCCTGGCCTTTCAGGTCTTGGGAAACTCAGGGGGCCACCGACCTTTGATTTGACCACCCCCCCGCGTTTGTTTCGATCAAACGCCGAGGAGAAGTCGACGAGAACGTCGACGAGACGTCCTGCTTCGCCTTCGCGAGGGCCTCCTCCGCCTCATCGGCCCGGGCCTTCTCCTCCTGGCCGATTTTTTCGGGTGTGCGACAAGCGGGCAATGGATCTGGCTGCGTGATTTTACCAAACAGGGATCCTTACAAGGGATCCACCTGAACATTGCCTGGTAAATGGTGGTTTCCTTTGATTTGGGTGGAAAAAGCCATAAGTTTCAAATGGGATCAACATGTATCTTGTAAGGAGCCTTGTCAAAGTCACCCCCGTTCAGTGGTGGGTTAAAGGGAAACAACCCCATTTACTGACTTTGATCACCCCCACAAACCATCAACAAAATGACCCCAGTGGCGACCGGTGCGATGAAGGTGGGAACGAACCCAGAGAGTCCCAAAAGGAAACCAGCAGGTGAAGATGGTTTCATGGGTCAACAAAGATTGCTGGTGAGGGAATGACCCCTCGTTGAGAATGAACCGGAAGGGATTCCGTGAAAAGAAAACCGCCAGTTGAAGAGGGTTTTACAAGGCGATAGGTAGAATGACTGAAGAGGATGAACCGGAAGGGGATGAAAGGAAACCACAAGGGATGATCAGGGAATGACCCCTGTTGGGAATGAACCAGAAGGGGATTCCCTGAAAAAGGAAACCACCACTTGAAGAGGGTTTTGCTTGGGGTTGTTACAATTCTCATTCCCTGCCTCTCGCACCAGCAAGACAACGCGGACAGCAAGTGGGTCTTCGGTTTTTCAGTGTACCCTTCTTGGGGTGAAATTAAAAGGGAATCTCCCATGTTGCTGCTCAAACTAGAAGATGATTCAACCATGACGTTGGCTGGCTTGGGAAATCAATAAAAAGATGCCTCAGATTCAGAGGTGCGTGTTGGAAACATCCAAGTGAAAGCTGTGGGCCATAGTTCGGGTTTGTAATACGTGCGGCTGATCAAACCCTGGAATGTTTGTTAAACGGGCAGTCGCAGCAAATGGCCACGGGCTACGTGAAAAAAGCCATCAACAATGCTATTCAAGTTGTAAGCATCTAGCCATGGAGTGGAGGCGTTCGGCCAGAGGGAAATCTCTTCCTCTTGTGCAAACAGGCTCCAGTGGATGGAGCTGCTGAACCCAGCTGACCAGGCAACGCGTACAGGCTTCTGTTGCATGGAGCTGGGGAGAAGTGGTGGAACGAATGATAGGTTCTGTTATGCTGTGAGCAGAGAAAGTAACACCATGAAAACAAACCTGCAGGCATTTCGTGGGGAAGGGGGGGGGACAGCAAAGACCTTGAGCCGTACAAAGGCTCCTAGGGTGAAAATTACGGTGGGCGTGGCCGAATGCTCCAAGGACCTGGGGTAAACTTGCACCTGTATAGGGTCCTGGAGTTTATTGGCAGATGGCCTTGCCACCTGAATTCCAGATAGCAACCAACAACTTACTGCCCCTTACGTTTAGGGAAACCACACAAAAAGATGACTCCTACAAACAAAAATGGGGAAAAAGTTACCCATGGTCATTTTGGTGCGGAAGGGAATATTGATCAACCCCCACTTTCAGCAATACTATATCTCATTGCCCAATGCGCACACGCACCCGCCCCAACGGATCCCAACTCCGCTCGGGCCTCTGCGCTCAGGTCCACCTGCGTCGCAGGGTGGCTGGGGATAGTTTAGCGCAGACAGTAACGCCACCTTTTTTGCGGGGGGGGGGGGGGGTCCCATATTTTGACACAGGCCCATATTGAGGTTTGGGAAATAAGAAGCCTTGGCAAGGAGAAGGATTTGGGCGAATATAGGCCCTTCCAGCACTGTTTGGATGGGTTCCTTCAACACAAGAAGTCCAGTCAACCTCCAAACCAAACCACCCATCCCGACAAAGTCAACCCGACTAGCGAATCAAGTTTTCATGACCAACGTCCACCACCTCCTTTGGGACTTGCGTTACACGCGGGGGGGGGGGTCAATATGGACTTGGGGCGTTCCATGCCACACCCGACTTTGGGGGTCTAATTGCGCCCAAAATCCGATCCAGATCGGACCCCGAAAGGTTGAAACGCGCGAAGATGGACGTAGCGACCCCGGAAAATGACTGTTGGGACTTCCTCCTCAGCTTCAGGTCAAGCCGAGAAATTTGCAAAGCAAAAAGCTTTGCGTGCAGAATTCCGCTGGGTTTCGACAAAGCACCTCAACCCAGAGGTTTCTTGTCAACCTACATGGGTTTGTTTCAAAATGAGGGGCCCCACATTGGATTTCGATAGATTCATTTGCTCCGGGTTTAGCTGCGACTCCAACACTTTCCCGACCCCTCGATCACCGTGCACGCAAAAACAATGCGCAAAAAGAAGGGCCGTTCTCAGCAAAAACACACACACACACACAAAAACAAAAACGGAACTGGGGAAAACACAAACTGGAGCATCTAAAAAGAGAACAAAACTGGAAATTACCAAAGCTGGAAAAAAAAACTGGAGCCGCCCTCTGCCCCCACAAAAATTCGACCTATCGCGAATTCCTTGGATGCTCCGCTCGGAGGGCGCCTTGGACTTGGCCTCCTGGCAAGCCTCCTGCGCTTCGTGGGCAGCGGCCTGGAGACATGCGCCGCTGGCCCAAAACGTGGGTTCGTTTGGAAGGAAACGTCCCAAAACGCGGGCTTCTTGGCAGGGAAACGTCCCAAAAAGTGGGTTGTAAGAGCAAACTAAAGGATTTTAAGGAAAAAACATGAGATGTTCTTTCTTTGGAGGGAAACGGTCATGTGATCTCATGTGTCAACAAACTGGAGGACTGCTTTTTGGGAGAAGGCTTGTCCAAAATAGCTTTTTGTTAGGGAAACCGTCATGTGGAGATGGATCAAAAGGTCCGATAAACATGTGATGACCATTGGGGAAACTACTACAAAAAATGATATGTCCAACTAAGGTAGCTGAATCATGTGTCAACAAATTGAAGGATGTTTTGGGAGTGGTTTGTGCGCACTCTTGTTTGGGGTAGGTGAAAGGTAGGTGAATCATGTGTCAAACTGGGTAACAGGTTAACGGTAGGGTGTGCCCTCGCAGCCGGCGCGTAAAACCAAAAGGCTAAAGGTTGTATCAACGAGGAGCCAAGAAGGACTCTCCTGCAATTGCGCGGAAGCAAACCTGAAAAGCCAAATGTTTAAAGACAACTCCTTTTGGCGGGACCCATGCTTGAAGAAATCCTGCGGTCAAAGAATTGACAGATAAAAAGGTCCCTTTGATGAAGCTCCCTTTGTTTATGGAGCCCCTTTTCATTATGTATAGTGGTATGGAGGTCTTCTTGATTTCTCGCTGAGGGCTAAAAGGTTGATAAACCCTGCAATCCCAAAGAGCATCACGAGAGGACATGCATTGTAAAGGCACCCCTGTTTGGGGTGTGAAAAGCATGGGGCGTAGATACACCGAAAGCCAAAGTCCAATTGAAATAGATGGTCTTAGAACTTGAGGGCTTAGGGCTCGCAAATTCTTTCGGGGGGTGTCCTATGGTCCCTGAAAGGAGTCGGACAAGGCGAAAATGCTAATCATAATTCTCAACTTGCAATCAAAATGCCGTATAGCCATTCCCGCAAAGCTCCAAATGCTGAGCTTGGCATGATTGATGCGTGATTGGGGCAATGCACGTTGGCAGTCAATGTAAGCGATTTGAATGGCCGATGCATGGGGCAGCAATGACGCTGGCAGGGATCACCTGGTTATCTTGGGGCCCTGAGTTGAAAATGCCGACGACTAAGACCAAGGCAGTGACTGGGACTCTCCATCGCGAGCTCGCCACTAAAAACGGATCTCATTTGTTGGGTGCGTTCCCCACTAAACAGGAATCATCGTCAAACATGTCCCTTCTTGTTGAATCACTTCTCCACTGAAGGAGTGACGTGAGCAACGGCTGCTGCGCTAATTAGGAAAGCGCAAAGCCACTGCCTGACGAACCATTCCTCCCAGCTTCTCCTGACCAACAAACAGGCCCCCATGATCCCTATGGTTCCCTATGCTTAAACCTGGTTCCCCCTCTATGCTCCCTATGGTTTGCCATGGTTCCACGGTTATAACCCCACAAACAGCTCCCACCGGTCCTCCCCCAATCACCGCCCGCGCAGCCGCGCCTGCGCGGAGTGGCACTCTAGCTGCGTGCGGCTCAGGGCGGTCTGGGTCTGCTCCAGGTGCTCCGTGGCCTCCTCCAGGCCTCGGCGTGTCGAAACGAACAAACGGCCGCGGCAGGTGGCGACCCGAGCAGAGTTGGAGATGGGAAAGCAAGGGTCAGTGGTTCCATCAATGCATCCCAAGCAGGGGAGTTGGAGCTGGGAAAACAAATCAACGGGGTTTGGACCTCATAAAATTGGGGAGGGGGGGGGGGTTGCAACAAAAATCGGTCTGTGGTGACCGAAGAATGGTAGTTGGACCTGGGAAAACAGCAGTCAGTGGTTGCATCAATAGGGTTTGGATCTCATAAAATGGGGGGGGAAGGGGGCGCCTGAAACAAAATCGGCATGTGGAGCCAAGAATGGGATTTGGACCTCATAACACATAGGAGATGGGAGGGGGGTCCTTAAGATGGGCGAAGGGTCTGAACAACAAAGGAATTGCGTCAAAACAGGGACCCAAAGTATGGGATTATATATGGACATAGACCCAAAGTGCCGGTCAATATTCAATCCAAAAGCATCTGAAGTTGGTGAATAACCTCAGTTCCTATGGTAATTTGGTCCACAGTAGATGCCAGCGAGCATTCCCTACTCATATTGGGGTCCTTTGTAAGGTGGTGTGTCATTATTTCGTGGATTTAAGGGAAAACCAAAAGGACGCCACCCATTTGGGTCCCCTACTTCTGAGAACCCATATTCATTCACTTTGGGAAAATAGAGCAACCGCGAAAATGGCTTTCCTGTTAGTTGTCCTGCCAGTCAAGTTTTGCCCTTTTAGCTTTCCCGTAAAGCCACCCCTAAACAGGGCACCATATTTCCAGTAGTGAAATCGATTCCCTTCTTCAAAACCAACAGTTATTTTCTGCAAAGATTCCCTTCAAAACCAAAAGTTCCAAATAAAACATATTCGCTCCAGCAAAAAATCCCATCAAAACCAACAGGGGAGAAATTGAAACAAATACATTTCAGCAACGATTCCCTTCAAAACCAACAGGGGAAAATAAACTATATACACTTCAGCAAAGATTCCCTTCAAATCCAACAGGTGGAAAATAACAATACCCAAAATCCAAATGGAATGGAAGCAAATGGAATAAAGAAACACTTGTCAGCAAAACCAACAGGTGAAAAATCAACATTCATTCCCTTGAAAACCAACAGGGGAACATGAATTAAATCATATACAATTTAGCAAAGACCCCCTTCAAAACTAACAGTGGAACATAAAACATACACAATTTAGCAAAGAGTCTCTTCAAAACATCAAAATCGAAATTGAATGGAAGCAAGTGGAATAAAACATTAAACAAAAAATCCAGCCGGTGGGTCCCAACTTCACCGAGGCGCGTCGGCGCAGCTCGTCCATCTCCGTGTCCTTGGCCGCCAGCTTCTCCTCCGCCGCGGCGGAAGCCGCCGCCGCGGAGGCCGCCGCCGCTTCTGCCGCTTCCGCTGCCTGGGGGGGACGTGATGGAAGGGGATTCCCGTACAGGAAGCCTCTGGGGTTGGATTCCCAATGTGGCTGGCGGTGTGTGGGTTTATGGTTGTGCTTGTCCCTTAGCCAGGTTGTTTTTTAATGGAATCCCCAAGGTTTTGGACATGAAGGGATTCCCTTGAAGAGATCCTAAAGGTTCACTTTGGGGTCATTCCCTCATTCCCTGCTGAGCACCAGCAAAAGAAGTCTGGAGTCTGAAGGAGTTTGAGGAGCATTGAGAAAGGCTCGAAGAGATAGAAGGTGCTTGAAGAGGTTTTGAGGAGCTTGAAAGAAGTTTGGCTGGGGTCGCCGCAGAACAGGATGAAACGGCTGTGATAGGAGGGTGTCCATCCGAATTGAGCCTTCAAAAAGATGTTCTCACTGAATTCGCAGGATACGAACCTACATTCTAAAATCGAAGATGACCACTTCCAAGGGGCCTCCCTCTTGACATCTGACCCATGTTGGGACACCTGACCCATGTTGGGGTAATGTTTTAATATAAACGGTAGTTTGAGGCTTGAGGGTCCAGGAGCCTAGTTTGATTGAGTCCCAGGTGAGTCCAGGTATCTTGGGCGTCTGCTTTCTCCGCGCCGCTGTCGGTCTCCTGCTCTCCAGTGGCCTGGCCGAACCGAGAACCGTCTGAGGCAGGGTACGGGGCTGATTTTAAGAACTTCCCTAGGAGCCCAAGACCTGATATTGGGTTTTGGGGGTTCAAGGCCCTCATCTTTCGGGTCCAAGGGGTTTCTAAGGATTGGCCTTTACCTTTGCCACCTTAATGGCTGTGGGTCAAAGCCGTTTTGGTACCATTTTGAGGTAGGTGCACCACTCATTTTAGAACCGATTTTAGTGGTTGGATTGGAATGTTCACTGGGGGTATGATTTGGATTTTGACCCATGGCCAAATAAGTAAACCTCAAACAGAGCTTCCAAGCACTCGTGTTGTGAACGTGTCCAATTGAGGTGCGCCGCTCGCTGAAGAAAATGCACAATTCCAGCAAGGCTGACAAAAACCGCGGTCAGTGGTGAGCTTGATTCTTGTCAGTGAGAATTCAATGGGTCCTGGTCATCTTTATAACTTTACAAACAGAGATCTCCCTTGTTCTCCCCTAAGGTTCACACTGGGAAGAAACATTCGCCAGTTGGTTGACCACAGCCACCCCACCTTCCCCGAGCCGGAAGCAACTTTGTGTACACATGGGAGCGTACCATGTGACGGTCAGCACAGGGTTGGGCGATTCACCTTGCTTCAACCACCTGCTGGTGTTTCTCAAGATTGGACCCCTCAAAAATCGTGGCTTCCTTTTGGTTTCCACCAAACAAGGGGTTCCCTACTTTGAGCAACACCCACAGGAAAATCAACGTGTGTAGTTGTTTTGCCCCCCCCCCCCCCCTCGGTCCGCCCATTGGCATGGGGCTCAGCTCGCCTCCTTGCTCGCCTCCTGGCTCAGCTTGAACTCCTCCAGCTGCTGTCTGGCCTCGTTCGCCTGCTCTCTCCCCGCGTTTCAAGGGTCCATTTGGATGTCTTCACAATCCTGGGTATGGTGGTAAAACACCGTGTTTTGCAGCCCCCTACTAAAAATAAACAGAAACAAACAAAAAAAACACTTGCCAAGAACAGTACAGGTGCGTCTGTTGTGAAAAAAAAAGCGTTCTGCTGGGTTCAATCACCTTTGGTAGGGCTAATGGAAAAGCAAATTATTTCAAAAAACAATTTCTAAGGGAGAAGGTCACACCAAAGGCCAGCCATGTTTCCAAGGAGAACTACAAAGGACAACTATTTCTTGTGGAGTTCCGCAATTTCAAGGGTTGTACACAATGGGAGCCCTAATGCGTAATCCTCAGTGGGACAACCGCGGTCCACTACCATCTAAAATGAATGTTGACAAACCCATTTCATTTCTTTGAAAGCCCCCAGACCTACTCCCCTGCATAAAACATGAACGTCCCCAACAAGCTGTTTGGAGGGCAACCCACAGATTCCATGTTTCGCGATCTTCGGGGAGTAAACTCTTGGAGAAAACCTTGGGCCAGGCACCCGGGGTCGCTAGTCTTAGCGTTTGCAAGGCCTGCAAACTGTTGGCCTCGGGGAATTGCGACCCCTCCAGCAGGTTGACTCCCTTGGAAACCCAGCCATCTGGCGGTGTTCATAGCACAGCAAGCGCCATGTCTTGCAAAGAACCCGGCGCAGCACGGCTTCGCGCCGAGCGCAGGACGCCTCATGTGTCACGTTTATACCCTTGAGCACCAAGCCATGCACATCCGTGCGCTGCCGAAACCGGTCAGCCGGTTCTCAGCACGTCCGTAAGCGACTATGCTCGCGGAAAAAGTGGGATTGAAGGGCCATCCTCCGACCGCAAGCTTGTCCAGTTGGGGAAACAGGGATCCTTACACTATACACCTGAACATTGCTTTGTAGATGGTGGTTTCCCTTTAGATTGGTGGAAAAAGCCATGTTTCAAATGATCAACCATGAATATTTCAAGGAGCCCTGGGAAAGTTTAGAGGCCCCTGGCTGCAAAATGGCCCCAGCAAACCTCGGCACATGCCAGTTAGGATTACTTGCCTGGGAGAAACAAAAACCAGCATTCCAGCATTCCAGCAAGCCTTCCGCAGGTCGCCCCGAGCTCACGCAGACTTGATCATGAGCTTGCTTGACAAGTGACAGGTTGGTGTGCTGGACGTGCCGCTGTCGTAACCTTGGAGCCTTTTGGCTGATGGGAGGTGTGCAGCCAGCTTCTTCTGGTTGCATCTCAGCTTCTTCGCCAAACGTTCCTGCTGCTTCGTCATGAAGCTCTCTCCCAGGCAACATCAGCTGGTACATGTGCTGGATCTTGAAGCGAACCAATTGGCCACCGGCATCACCACTGCAGTCAGAAAACGCCTTGTCCGCTGACTTGTTTAGTTGCGGAGCTCGCTACAAGCCACACCACAAGATACCACAAGCTGATTCCACTTTTGGAGGGCCTTGTTTCGATCCCAACCTGACAACTTGCAAGAACCACCCAAGCCAAGCACACCCATGGCATGTGGCATGCATTTGTGTCAAACAAACATCTTTTTTGAGGACCTTGAATGAAATGATCACATGTGAGCACACACACACACACACAATCCAATGGACACCCCACAAGCAAGCAAGCAAGCAAGCA